CCTCCGGAGGTGGTCCTCTGGGAGTGACCCTCCGGAGGTGGTCCTCTGGGAGGCCCTTCGGAGGTGGTCCTCTGGGGCGGCCCTTCGGAGGTGGTCCTCTGGGGGCGGCCCTCCGGAGGTGGTCCTCTGGGGCGGCCCGAGAGGTGGTCCTCTGGGGCGGCCCTCCGGAGGTGGTCCTCTGGGGGCGGCCCTCCGGAGGTGTCCTCTGGGGCGGCCCTCGGAGGTGTCCTCTGGGGGCGGCCCTCCGGAGGTGTTCCTCTGAGGGCGGCCCTCCGGAGGTGGTCCTCTGGGGGCGGCCCTCCGGAGGTGTCCTCTGAGGGCGGCCCTCCGGAGGTGGTCCTCTGGGGGCGGCCCTCCGGAGGTGGTCCTCTGGGGCGGCCCTTCGGAGGTGTCCTCTGGGGCGGCCCTCGGAGGTGGTCCTCTGGGGCGGCCCTTCGGAGGTGGTCCTCTGGGGCGGCCCTTCGGAGGTGGTCCTCTGGGGCCGGCCCTTCGGAGGTGGTCCTCTGGGGCGGCCCTTCGGAGGTGGTCCTCTGGGGCGGCCCTTCGGAGGTGGTCCTCTGGGGCGGCCCTTCGGAGGTGGTCCTCTGGGGCGGCCCTTCGGAGTGGTCCTTGGGGGCCTTCGGAGTTCCTCTGGGTGCTGCCCTTCGAGGTGGTCCTCTGGGGGCGGCCCTTCGGAGGTGGTCCTCTGAGGGCGGCCCTCCGGAGGTGGTCCTCTGAGGGCGGCCCTTCGGAGGTGGTCCTCTGGGGGCGGCCCTTCGGAGGTGGTCCTCTGGGGCCGGCCCTTCGGAGGTGGTCCTCTGAGGGCGGCCCTTCGGAGGTGGTCCTCTGGGGGCGGCCTTCGGAGGTGGTCCTCTGGGGCCGGCCCTCCGGGAGTCATGTTTGTGGCTCCGACGCATGCGCGGTCACGTGCGCCAGGACGCAGACATAGCCGGCCACGTCTCTCTGGGGCTCGCCGGCTGGCCGGCCGACGAGCCCCTCCCAGAGGCGCCGTCCCGAGCTAGAGCTGTCGCGCCGGCTCGATTGGGGAGTGTTTTGGGGAGCGTTATTGACCATACGAGCCGGGGACGCTGACGTTTTTACGGCCGGGGAACTGCAACCGGGGTGACGGCGCTCGAGGACCGAGGACTCCAGACGTGGCGGTGTGCACGAACTGAAGTCATGGTGGCAGTGTCCGTCGATGGTTGTTTATTCAGTCCGTCTGCCAAAGCCAGGGTGTCGGGGGACCGGCGCCGGTCGTTTTCACGGGCTCCGTACATCGTTTGGAACTGCGGCTCATTTCTGGCTATCGCCTCACCGCCAGCAAAGTTGTTCAAGGCGCTACCATAGCGCACACCGGGCCGAGGCTATGCAGTACGCAACATGTCTTGTTTGCTGGAAAGAAAGCCCCTGTTGGCTCCTGTGTTTTTCTAAACACGGCCTGAAAGGTTACGACAGTGATTCACCAAGCATACGGGGTGTAAGTTCTTCAGTCGATTTGCTTAGATCAGATGCATCGTTAAACACTACTAAGTGTGCTTTCGCACGGACTGGGAAGAAAGCCTAGACAGCTTTTGTCCCAGCGATGCCCAACGGAGCCATGTGTCGGCCCACAGTCGCTGGTTTGACGGGCCTCCGTCGCCCCTGCACCAGATTGGTCGCCCGCGGCGTGGGCGGCGCGGGACGTCCCCCGCCGGGAGACGTCGCCGCCAGACACACCGCGTGGCCGCCCCGCTTGTTCATCAATTAGCCTAATCGAAATAGATAGGAGCTGCTGGCGGAAGGCCCGCGCGAGCCCACCCGGAAGGATGCGCCCTCACGAGGCGCGGTCCGTCCTCCGTGGCCGAGGGGTGCGCTTCCAGCGCCGGCCGCGGGGCGGCGCGCCGGCCGGCCGGCTCGACTCAGACCGCCGCTCGTTTTCACGGGCTCTGGGCATTATGACAGCGGCGAAACAGATGAGAGTGCGTCCCGGAACCTTTAAAAGGCCAGCCGGTGCGTCGTTGCGCGGCGGGAAAGCAACGATACGCCTCGGTGGTGCACCGCGACGGCCGGAAAATGCAACATTGCAGTCGACCACGGCTCGGTCACAGCCCGAAGCAGCTTGGCTGAAAAAACTGCTCCCGCCTTCCTGTATGCTTGTTTTGCTATTTTTTTTTTTTACCCTCGATGAGTCCTTATAGCATGTCCAGCCCAACTTGAACCGGAGGGCTTACGTAGTTTTTGGCATGATCCGGCCTCCTACTCGCGTTTTCGTATTGGAGGTAACCCCATATCGGCTGTCGTATCCATGCAAAATCTTTCGACCTGCCAATCAAGCGACTTCCAAGTTTTGTAATGGAATGGAGTAGAATGTGTACGGAAAGTTTTTCGACCAGCTGTGTAGGTACTCGGGCTACAGTTGAGAGCACTGGACATTTATCGGTAAGGTGTCGAAAAATACGGAATGGACGGCGCCAGTCCCGCACACGCACCGGCGCATATCCTGCGCCGGCCGGCGATTTTCCGTGTCGGGTCGGCTGCGCCGGCTGGCGGTGTCAGCGTCGGAGGGCTGCCCATTTGCCGGTCCTCCCTAGGGGCGGCTGGGGCGGGGCTGGCCGATTGCCTCGGTCGGCAGGGGGCGTCGCCGAGCGCGGACCGGGGCTTGAGTCTAAGATCGGCTATCGCAGCGTGGACGGTCGTCTCCGTCGGCCGAGCCGGCCGCCGCTGTCGGCTGCCGACCCCTCTGACCCTTGGCGGGGTGTGTGCAGTCACACCGGAGGGCCCTGACTTATTCTGACTGCGGTCGATCCGTCGTGAACCTCTGACTCGAATGGCCCCCTGCCCTGGCTGGCCATCTTCGGACTGGCCATGCGATCACCAGTTTATCAATTTGATCATTGACCCAACGCCAAGGTCATCGTCCCCGGGTCCCTGACCGGCCTGTTCACCACCGGCTCCGGCCCGTGACCCACCTGTCCACCGCAGGGCCCGGTCCCTGACCCGCCTGTCCACCGCCGACCCCGGTCCCTGACCCGCCTGTCGGTGCCGACGTGGCGTCTCGTCGCCGCCGACGGACGCCGGCTGAGTGATAGCGCGGCCTGCCGACAGCCCGCCGCCGCCGCCCGTGGCCACTCTCCCAGATCACGGCAGCGGCCGCCCTGTTGCCGGGTCGCCATTACTGGACGCGTGTCGGGCCGAGATAATGGCCGCCGGCGCTGATGCGGGTCATGGCAGCGGTGCTCGGGGATGCGGGCCGCCTGGGACACGCTGGCAACGGGGCGACCAGCGACGGGCACACTGCCGCTGAGGGGCTAAAGCTCCGCATCGACGCATCGGGCTAATGGCCTTCTGGAGGCTCTCGCGTTCTCAGCAGTGATACTAGGCTAGTCATTCCGCTGGAGCGACCAGATTTTTCGGTCGATTGACTGCTCCAAGTTTTTTTTTCTTGGGAGGGGGTGAGGGAGGGAGATTTGGCTATCCTCCGTGCATTTGCAGTTTTATACAATTCTGCGTACGTTTCAAAGTTTTTGTAGAAGTGCCTAATATCGGTGGGCCGTAATTTCGTGTTTTTTTTTGTCGTTCGGCTCACGCGCGCGGGCGCAGGGCGGCGAGCGGTGTCATTACTTTCCGCACCCGGCCCGCGCTCTCCAATTGGTGCTCAAAAGCAGATGGAGCACCAGGGAAACGGTCGCCTATGATGACGATAGAATAAAACTGTTTATGGGCGGGGGAATCCGCTGTAAATGGTGTCTGTCCTGATTTACGCCGCGGACGGGGAGGGTGGCGCGCGCCGGAACGGTCCAGATAAAGTGCATCGCCCGCCCAAGAGATGACGAAATCGACGGCATGCAGCCTCGCTCCTCACGGATGTGTGTGACGGCGTCAGAGCGAAATCATCTGAAAGCTTATCATTTTTCTCCCGAGACGAAGAAAACGTCGGCGTCCATCGGGACTTTTTGCGGGCAGGACGCGGTTATAGCCAGCCGCCGGCCGCGGGCCGCTCCGGCGCCCGGAGGAGCCGGTGTCCGGACGCGGGCCGTTCCGGCGCCCGGACGAGCCGGTGTCCGGACGCGGGCCGCTCCAGCGCCCGGAGGAGTCGGTGGCCGGCCGCGGGCCGCTCCGGCGTCTCAGGCGCGGTCAGCGGCTGTCGCGCCCGTCGGCTGGCGCCGCTCGATACGGCGCCCCTCCGTTACCTCTCCGACTTCATAACCTGGCCGCCAGGGAGCAGCGGCGGCGGCAGATTTACGACGCCGGCCGAGCGCCCGCGCCCGCGCCCCCGTCCGCTTCATGATGAAGACCTGGCGGTGCGCGTGCTGCCATTAGGGCCGCGCTCCGGGGTACCGGCGCTCGTCGCTGACCCCGCGGACGGCGGGGTCGGCGGCGGGGCGCTGGTGACCGACCGGCACGTGCTTCTGCGCCTACCGTCGCGCGGCCGCGCCGGCGCCGGTGTCGCTACGCTCGGCGGCGTGCCGTTAGGTCCCGGCGCGATCTGGCTGCATCGATTTCCGGGCCTCCGCCCCTGCCGCGCAGCAAATGTCCCGCATGAATTATTTTTGCGTTTTAGTGGTCTGTGATGGGAGTCATCCAGCTGACATCGAGGGCCAATCGTCGTGAAATGGGCCGGGAGAGTGGGCGACGCGTCGACTCGAGGGCCACCGGTGATCAATATGGAGGACGGGTCGTGTTGACACCGCCCGAGGCGATTCGTGGCGGCTGGCCGGCCGCGCGCGCGGCAGAGTGGGCCGTTTAAATTCGTCCGCCGACGCCGGCACCTGACGGCTTCTGAATGATTGTTGTTCCCGGTGGCTGTTCTCTTCGCCACCGGGTGTAGTGCGGCGTCGCGCGAGGAAAAAACGCCGTCGCCGCCAGCTACCGAGTGGAGAAGTGTCGCCTCGCCTCCGGGAAAACATCGATCTTTGCCTGCTGCTGGGAGGAGTTTCACTCCCCCGGGGAGAACACGGTCGGTGTAGCCTGTGGACTGTCTAGCGCCCACACCGGTCCTCAAGATGGGGCAAGCGACCTGACGCAGTGTTGTCTTTTTCCAGGTGTCCAAAGTGAAGGTGCAGGAGTGCCATCTGTATTCAACCTGTAGCGAATGTCTGACTGCCAAGGACCCCTACTGCGGCTGGTGCTCGCTGGAGAACAAGTAAGTCTTGTGAATGCTCTTGTCAATGTGTAAACAAGCGTGCTTTGTTGCGTTTTGCCCATCCTTCATCCTCAAATTCAGAACTAGCGGCCGCGAACCGTGAACCCAAGCCAGGCAGCCCGCAGGTAATTGAACGGCTATTTCTTGCATCGCATCGCAGGCCTGTTTGGCATGCTTCCTCAGCGCAGTGCCTGCCCACGGCTTGTGTTGACTCTGTGGGCGGATGCTGTCTGGGCTGCGGCGGGAATGCCAATCGCATCTGTCACGCTAGATGACTCTCTGCACGCGAATAACGAAGCTAATTACGTTGTTTTCACCCCGCCGCCGCCGACATTGAATTGCTTTGGGAGACATGCTTACCATTCCGCATAACGATATTAATTTAGTGCTGATTGGTCTCGGGGCCCTGTCACTGGTGTAGCGAGCGAGGCGCCCGGCTGGTGCTCGCGTTTTGCAGCGATAACATAACGCGACGTTTACTGCGGTGCCTGCAGCCGAGTGTAGTGAAGTAGTGGACGAGCCAGCCACTTACTTAGCCCATGCACTTAAATCAGGCACTGTTGCGAGGTCCTTGGCTACCCGCGGCGGCTTGTGTCGCAAATCCGCTGATTTAGCTGTCTTACAATTACGGTTTGCATCCATTGCCATTTATTTACGTCGGTGTCACGTCAACCATTAAAGTAATTTCGAAGTTTATTAGCCTGGACTGCCATTGTTTTTGACAGTGCAGACATGCCGAAGGGGCATGCGTCATTGGCCAGTGTTTTATTGCGCATTGTTACGTATCTCTCCCTCGTTTGAATAATTATCGCCTGCACATTATTCCTGAACATAATGGTCCGTCTTTTTAAGCCGGCAATTATCTCAACAACCTGATGTACGACCTCGCTAGATGGCGGACGGGTAGGGGGGCGGGGGCCTGCTGTGCCGTGCACAGATTGTTGACTGTACATCGCGTCGGCTAATTGTGCTAACACCTTCCGCATCTGCGCTCATCACAATAACTCAGCGCCCTCTGGCCTCGGTAGTTTCGATGTTGCGTTCTCGGCTCCTCGCCCGGCCGCGGCAACGTCCGCCCGCCGTGTCACCCGCCGTTGAGTCATGCGCAACATCGCTAATCCTGACAGAAATCCCCGTCGATGACTTCAGCGTCGACTCGCAACGACGCTCGCCATGTTCGGCGCTTCATCGGAACGCGCTTTAGCCGACAAGGCTGTACGGAACCTATTGCCGTTCGTGGCAGTGTGCGATCGAGCGTCCGGGACGCGCCGGGCAGCCTGCCACGTGATCTCGCGTCCCTATGTCTGTTTCTGCAGCTGCAGGGCGACGGCACGCCCCGACCTCGTGCCGGTCGCGCTCCGGGCCGGCCGGGCTCCCGCCGCAGTCGCGGGGCCGGCCGTGTTTGCGCCCGGGCGGATTGTCGCCCAGCCGAGACGCCCTCGCGGGAGACGACCAATCCGGCGGGCGGGGTCGATCCCGGGATCAGGCCGGTAATATATCGCCGCCTAATAATCTCGCGCCTGATTGTGTTTGCCTGATCGGCCAGGCGCGAGTAACGACCGCGCCGGGCGGGCGGCCTGCTGCGGCCCGCCGCTGCCATTCACACACCGAGCTTACACAGCTGGCAGCGGGACTCCGGACATGCAGTTATTCGGAGATCGCAGGCATCGGCCATTTTGACGTCGGGTGCAGCTCTCGCTCTGACACCGGGCTTGCAGTAGTCAGCGGAGCCGGCAAGAGGACCGTCCGCTGCAGCTCGCGTGGTCATGTGCCGCAACTGGCCCCAGAGCGGGCGGGATGGGCGTGGCGCGCGCGGTATTGGACACGCTGACCCGGCGGCGGCGTCATTAGCGCGCCGGTCGCGTGGGTGACGTCGCCCGTTGGAGGCATGATGATAAGTCTGCACACACTGCGCCGGGAGGTGGCTGCGTGGCCATCCAACCGCGTTGCGTGTACGTGAAAAGCTGATCATCCGCGATGAATTGTGCACTTGCCGACGCTCAGCCTTTTTGTAAGTTGTTTTGCGTGCTGTTCGTGCGTGAGCCCTTCATTGTCGCTTCTGGTAAGTTTTCCTGTCGATTGCTAGTTGGTCGTCTCGGAGTGTATCATGCTGTGTGTTTATCATCTGTGTTTATTGGGTCTCCCGCCCGGGTACGTGGTCTCAGAGTCGACCTCCTCCTTTCGACTGCAAGGCCGGACCCGAGCAAGCAGGGGCGGTTCGAACGGCCGGCTGTGGCGTTCCTATCTACCGCCCCGCTCGCCGTCGCTCCGGCGAGGCCGGCACCGGCCCGACGCCCCGACGCTCTCCTAAGGGCCCTCCGGCGTCGCCTTCGACGACCGGCGCCGTCGCCGGCCGCCGGCCGCCACTCTTTCTGCGGCAAATGACCGGAACGGACCCGGCGGCCAGGTGGAGCGGCGCGCGCCCCCTGGTGGGGCGACGGGGGTGTGGCGTCGCTAGCGAGACGGCGAGAGCTCCCACCCCGGGACCGGCCGCCGCGTTCGGCGTCGTGTTCCGCGTGTGGAGTTGTTCGGTGCCTTGTCAGGCTCTTGTTCGGCCGGTGGCCAAACTTGTTTGTGCTCAGTCCTTATGTTGACTCGTTGACGCTTCGCTAGCCAGCGAGCGTTTATAGCAAGGGAGGCAGGAAGGGAGAGCGAGTGTGCAAAGCGAGCGGGAGAGCGAGTTGAGGCAGCAGGAGAGCGACCTGAGGCAGCGGGAGAGCGAGCTGAGGTGGTGGGAGAGCGAGCTGAGGCAGTGGGGGGGGGGGGGGGGCGAGCTGAGGTGGTGGGAGAGCGAGCTAAGGTAGTGGAAGAGTGAGCTGAGGCAGTGGGGGGGGGGGGGGGGGGGCGAGCTGAGGCGGTGGGAGAGCGAGCTGAGGCAGCGGGAGAGCGAGCTAAGGCAGTGGAAGAGCGAGCTGAGGTGGTGGGAGAGCGAGTTGAGGCAACAGGAGAGCGAGCTGAGGCAGCGGGAGAGCGAGCTGAGGTGTGGGAGAGCGAGCTGAGGCAGTGGGGGGGGGGGGGGGGGGGGGGCGAGCTGAGGTGGTGGAGGAGCGAGCTGAGGCAGTGGGAGAGCGAGCTAAGGTAGTGGAAGAGTGAGCTGAGGCAGCGGGAGAGCGAGCTAAGGCAGTGGAAGAGCGAGCTGAGGTGGTGGGAGAGCGAGCTGAGGCAGTGGGGGAGCGAGCTGAGGTAGTGGAAGAGTGAGCTGAGGCAGTGGGAGAGCGAGCTAAGGCAGTGGAAGAGCGAGCTGAGGCAGTGGAAGGGCGAGCTGAGGCGGTGGGAGAGCGAGCTGAGGCAGCGGGAGAGCGAGCTGTGGCGATGGGAGAGAAGACATTCTGGTTCTGCCTTGTGCCGTCGGCTTTCGTTTGGGGCAAATTTGTGAGCGGCGTTTGCATGCTAATGCCGCCTTCGTTCGCCATCTGGCCTTGCCAACGAGGCGCCTCCTGCCCGCGGGCAGTTTGGGCAGCTACCTACTGCTCGCGGTCCACCGACTGAACGGACGCAGGCTGTCTCGGCGCGTCGCCTCAGTGACGCCGTGCGAAGGCCATCACCCCGGCGGGCGTTTCTGTTTCACGCCGTGAGGTGCGCTGTGCTCGTGTCGCCGACTGCTCCTCACCTTATCGACTACCCTTTCACCCCGAGCATATCCACACCATGTCTGCCGGGCGGGTCGATGGGTGCGGCGAGGTGCCGTCCGGCTGGCGCTGGCAGCTCACCACGATAGATGGCACCCTTTTTCGGCCGACCCGGATTGTGCCGAGTCTGCGCGGGCGCCGCGGGATGCCGCCAGACCTATGATGTATGGTCCATTTGGCGTGTGCCGGAGCGCCTGACTGGCCCACCTCGCACTATCGACGCGGACACCCGGCCAGGAGGTAGGCGTAACGAACAGTGCAGGTGTGACTTATGAAGTGGCTGGGTCGTGAAGCATTGCTTGTTGTTGGCCCATTGATTCGGTTTCGTAAGAGACCCTTGAGATGGGGTAGCCCCCAGACCTTGGGGGTCGACTGTGACCCTGTTTTGCGCTGCCAAGCGGGAGCGATCTCGCCGTATCAAGGCAGTTCCACCTGTCTTCATCGGAGGCCCCTGAGGCCTGTTTTGGAGGAGGAAGTGGCCGAAGCAGCTGAGCTGATGCCGTGCTTTTTGTAGCTCTCTAGTTTGTAGCCGCCCTCACGTCAGTCTGGCTGCCGTCCTCACGTCGGTCAGGCTGCCGTCCTCACGTCGGTCTGGCTCGCATCCCAGAACGACGCAGACGCGCCGCACCGAGCCGGTAGCCCGGCGGGGTCAGGGGTCGATCTGCCAGGATATCGCCCCGTGGTCGCCATTCCACGCCACCAGGCGCTTGTCGCGAAGCTAGCCCACGTCCCCTCCGTAGCGGTCCTCATTTCTCTTGGCCTTCCGTAGGGGCGGTCACTGGTGGTGGAGGTGGTGTTGGTGGTAGCGGGGGCAGTGGCCCTGGCGTCGGTGGGGTCGTACGTGGGAGCCATCGACCGTCACCACGTAACGTCACGCCCCTGCCGACCCTGCCATGACCAGGCCGACACTCCCCTGCTTTGGAGCTGGCGGCGCATATCCGGGACGGCCACCCCCTCCCCCCGGACTCCGTACTTGGCGCCGAGGGTCACACCTCGACCCGTGCACGTGCCCCGTGCACGTGCGGTGACGTCACTTGCACAGCCGGTGCTGACGTGACGTGCGTCCGTTCAGGTGCGCTCCGATAACACCCTGATAAGGCGACTCTAGTGCCAAACAATGTTGAAACGCGTTTCCAAGCGTCAGACAGCTGGCGCGGGCGGAGGTCGTCGGGATCTCATCCCAACGACGGGCATTCCACGTGTCATGGGAATAGCAGCATGTTTCGCCTTTGGTGCAGCTCTGCCGGACCCCGGCGCGACGAAATTGCTGACTAACCTACTGTCTTGTCGGTCTTTTGACCAACTGTCTGACTGGGTGTCAGACCGGCTGCCCGGCCGGACTTTCCGACCGACTGTCTGTCCAAAGGTCTGTCCGGACTGTCTGTCTGGCTGTCTCTCCGGCTGTCCGACCGACTGTTTGATCTGCTACCTGACCGGCTACCTGACCGGACTGTCTGGCCTGGCGTCTGACCGGCCGTCTGACCCGGCTGTTTTTCCGGACCGTCTGACCGGCTGTCTGCTCGGCTGTCTGCTCGGTTGTCTGATCGGCTGTTTGACCTGCTGTCTGACCGGGCTGTCTGTCCGTCCGTGTCTCAGGTGCAGCGTGCGGACGAGCTGCCAGGACGCGGCCAAGGACACGCTCTACTGGATCAACTACAAAACGGACCGATGCACCACCATCGACTCTGTGACCCCGCACCAGCTGCAGGCCACTACGGCGCGCACGGTCAGTGACGGGGGCGCCTGCCTCTCAGGCACGGCTGCTGCCATCATGGATTAAGCATTCTCGGGAAAGGTGGTGTGGGAGAGCTGTGGAAACGAACAGCCTTCGATAGCACGCTACTGGCACTGCCTTAAATATGACGGGAATTTGGTGCGGTTACCACCACACCCGTCGTGCCATCTTCCACTGTTATGATTAATCCTCAGAAGATATCGTCCGAGATCATCTGATCATATCCAGGGATCGACGCACGGCATTCAACCCACATACGGCCCTGTCTGGGGGGGGGGGGGGGGGGCGGAGGTGGGCCTGACGTTGGCGCTGCACACGCCAGTTTATCACCTGCTCGGACCATACGGGGTGCAGGCTGGAGAGCAATGTCCACCAGGCTCGTGTTGTAGCAGGCAGGGCGCGACCTGTCAGGCATGACCTCACACCACCCCCACCCCGGTGGTGTCCCGGATCACCGCCCCGGACTGGGGGCGGATCGGGCGGAGCTCTGCCAGGCTGCTGCACCGAACCGCGGCGGACCGCAGCCCATCCAGCCCGATTGGAGCTGCGCCGCGCTGGCAGCGGCCCCAAGAGCAGAACGGTCCGCCTCGTCGGCCGGCGCAGTCCATAATCATCTGAAGGGTTTCGCCGGACTTTGTCAAATCACGGCCAAAATGGGCTCCTGCATGCAAGCGGATCACCGCCGACGAGATGCTTCTGACTGGGTCATTCTTCTCAGATGTCGGGGGCATTGATTTTCTGAATGTGCTCTGAGGCTGGGGACCGCCTACATAGGAGAGAGCAGAAGGCAGCGGGAGCTCATGTCAGGCGGCGCTCAAACTTGGTGTGTGGTTCGTCGCCGCGGCCGAGCGGTGTGATTGGTCAAAACATACCGTCGTCGTCGCCAGCCGTGACTTCACCAAACAACGCGACAGCTTCGGAGGGGGGCGCACTTGCAAAACCGACGTCCAAAAACGACCGCGTCCTGTCGATGCGAGTGGCAGTGCATTACGTCCTAATGCCTCCGTGCCTGCCTGTTTGTATGCGCGCGTTACTCCGATGAAGACAAAAACATTCTGCGTGATGTCGGTGGGAGGCTCTGTTCGCCGCCGACCCACGCTGCGTCACCTACCCTCACCGCCGCCGCGCCGTCCAGCCCGGAGAGCCGCCGGGGCCGACCGGCTCTGCGTCGGCCTCGACGCGGCGCGGCGCGGCGCGGCACCGGCCATGGTCAGCGGCGCGCGGGCCGGCGCCACGTGCGGCGGCGGCGCGGGCGGTGCCGGCTGCAGCCAGCTTCGGACGGCGCGTCCATTTAATCTTCATTAACGGGGCCGAGCGGCTGCCGAGCGCGTCTGTACCTGGCGATAACCGGGCCGTCGTCCGGCCAATCGTCGACGCCGGCGGCCGTGGGGAAGGGGGGGGGGGGGGGGCAGTGGCCGCCACGCGCGGCGCTGAGGCCGTCTTTTGCGCCCGACTTTACTGCGCGCTAGAGAGAAGGGTTCTTTGAGAGCGTCGGCTATTGGGACCGCTCCACGGTCATAAACGCCACGGACAGCGGGCGGCGCGTGGACGTGATTCAACTGATCCCACGGGCGAGCTGGGAGCGCCGCAGTCTTGGTCGATGGCCGTCACCACGCTCCAGGCTTTCACGCGGTGCGCCGCGGCTGGGCACGCTTGCCCTCCTCCCGGGGGAGAGTGGCGCTAGATTAGGCGGCGTCCTGGGGATGCGGGGTGGCTGCGCCAGGCCGATAGAACTGCCGAGATGGCCGCAGTTTCTGCTTGATTCGTCATTATTAATTCGGCCCCTCGGCCGCGCATCGTTGGAAGGGGCGGTCCGTGCTGGCAGGGCGTCCCGCGGGGCTCCCCTCCCCACCTCCGCCGTCGGCAGTCGGGACGGTGCACTAGCGCGACGGTGCCCATATTTGACCGGCGCCGCCGTCGGCAACAGCACGGAGCCCTGTTGTCCCCGCAGTTCGAAACGATGGGGACTGAGATACACGCCGATTGGCACCTTCTGCAACGGGCTTCGCCGTCGGTCGGCTCTTGGCGAACACACGGAGCGGCAGCGGCGCGTCTGCTGTGAACTCGTGACGGCCGAGGTCGGAGTGCAGATCAGACCAGGCCTGGCCTGGCCTGGCCGGGGCGCCGGGCGCGGGGCGCCCGCGCCCGCCGGCACCTGACGCCACCCGACCGCTCGCGGCCGGCCGCCGAGCTGCATTATTCAGGGGCCCGGGCGGCGCAGCAGCCGTCGGACCGCCGCTGGCCGCCGACGCGCGGGCCGCGCCGCAATGAATGGCCGCGTCGCCTGGCGCGGTCCCGGGCGCTTCTGTCGTCTGGCCCGACGCGGTGCGGTGCTTCTGTCGCCGGCCTCGGCGCGGCGCGGTGCTTCTCCCCGCCGCGTCGGACTCGTAGCGGTGCGCTTGTCCGCCGCTGGCGGCTGCGGCTGCCTCGTGACACGGGGTCAAGACTGCACTCTAGGGAACAAAAGAGGTGGGCGACTCCTGTGCTCTCGACCCCCGACTCCTTCTCTCCCGCTCCCACCTCCTCGTCTCCGGCCGCCGTCCTCCCAGCATCTGCCAGGCGCTGAGGGTCGCGTGACTGGGCAGGTGTTGCCGCTCCGCCGGCGCGCCGGTGGCGCCGACCTGGGACCGGTGCCGGGTGTCTGCGCGGTGGGCGCAACAGTCGTGCGAGCCAGCGCCCGAGGAGGTCGCCGCAGCGGCACCCCGTGCAGGACACCATCACAACGTCACGACCGGGTGGCGACCCGGCACCCGTGATGGTCCTCACTGCTACGGCTTCCGTGACTCGTGGCAGATGTGACGTCCGTGACGGTCGCCACAGTCGTGACAGTTGGCGTGGTGGCCGTAACGGTCTGGCTCCGCCCCGCGAGACGGGCCGGCCACGGCGCCCACGCTGATGGACTGCAGGACCTCTGTTTGGATGAGCCTCGCGACCGGACGGATGTTTTGCTAACAGATGAGGCCCGCCTGGCCGGGATGAACGAAATCCGCCGACTCGGTCAGCTCAGGGCCCCTCTTGGCTGGATCACGCGTGTGGCTTCGCCGACGGAATGCTGATGGTGGCAGCTGGCGACAGGCCGTGTTTGAATTGGGTTGGTTCGAATATCAAGTACCCAGTGGCTCTGGATGTGGAGGCTTGTTGTCGGGCGGAAACAACGTTCTGCAGTCATCGGCAGTGGATAAAAAATGACTAGATACAACATTGTCCGGTCACCGTTGGCAACTGGAGCCATTTGTAAACACGGATCAGCCTCTTTAAAACACGAGCTCCGTGCTTAATTTGACGTGAAGACGCCGTTTGAATTAAGCATGTGGTCTGAACCCTAGCCTCGGTATCTCTGTGACGTAACCCTGATGTCATGCAAAGTGGAGCTGGTGAATATTTCCTACCGGCATCGAGTTTAATAGCCTGCTCCAGAGGCCGATCGTGGCGCCGGCGTTTGTCGTGCAGCCATGCGAATGCCGTGCGATAATTCGGCGACTGCGGTGGCTTCCCTGCACATGCGATCGCGTGGACGTCGCCGCCGGCTGTTCAGCTCCGGGGGACAACAGGGACTGTCATTTCGTCTGCGTCTGGCGGTGTTGGTGAGGACGGCGCGTGGTCTCGGTCCATCTGCGGGACCCAGCACGCAGGCAGGCTGGTCAGGGCGGCGCCGCCGGTCTGCGGCGGTCGCAGGGCCGTACTGGCTGAGCCGGGCACGCCCAGCGCCGCGTCCTGCAGCCGGCCGGCCGTCGGCGTTTATGTACTCAGCCGTGCTGTGCTTGTTTGGCCCGTCGGCGCGGCCTAATCGGGCGGGCCCGCCGTCACGCGAGCAGCCGACACCCGCCGCGCCGGGGCCCACCGCCGCGGCCGTGACGGGACGCCGGACGTCCGTCACGCGGGACGCGACGCCGTCCGGACGGCCTGCTCGCACCCGCCCGCCCGCTCGCCCACCCACCAGCGCAAAAACAAAGCGACACCCGCGGCCGCTGGAATTCAATTTGGTCGTCTTTTTGCGGCGGGTTTTTGTGGACACCGGTGGTGGCGTTCTGATGAGTGTGATGGCCCTTCAGTCGGCGGGGTCGGGCGCCCTCGGCGGTCGCAGTGCCGCCGCCGTCGCCAACCGCGCGCCGGGCGCGTGACAGGTGCGCTCCGCGGAGTCCCCTGACGGCTGCTGACATATGACCCAGATGACGGTCGGGCAGGCGGGACAAGACGTCCGCACGCGCAAGAAGTGGCCGGGCGGTGCGGTGGCGGAGTTTTTGCCCGCGGGCCGCCGGTGTCGCCCGGGTCCGTGACCTTGGCCACCTCCGCATTGTTGACTGTCACAAGCCGGCGGGTAGCACGTGATCACGTGGCCTGGCCTCCCGGCAAACCTCCCCGAGCCTTCGCAGACCCACCAGCCGCGAGACTGCCGAGCTTGCGGCGGTTCCGCGGCGGGGTCTGCAAACATTGGCCGACGTTTGAGGAATGGGAGCGCTGGATCGCCGCCGTCGGCCCCTCGCTCCGCCGCCGCTTGTCGGCGGTCACACGCGGCTGTTTTCGACGGGGACCGCCGCCGCGGCGGGCGGGGAGCCGCCGCCACGCGGAGAGGACTCCATTCATCAGGCAGCCGGCGGTCGTTTGTCACAGGGCCGGCTGCGATGCGACGGGCGGGGTGCGTGCGTGCGTTTGGGCGGGGCGGTCGGCCATGTGGCGGTGTTTTATTCAGCGCTGGTGTCAGCGACGGTGTTTGGGGGGGGGGGTGGGGGGGGAACCCGGCCCGCACGTTCGGTCGGGTTGTGGTAACGCGCGGCCAACTGACCACCGTGTTATGACGTGGCGCTACGGTCGCAGATGTCTGTGTGGGATCCGTCTTGTACCAGGCGTGACGTTTTATTTGGGCCGACATGCCGAATCCGGCGCGCATGCTCTGCCAGAATCAGCCGAGCCGCGGTCGGTCCGAGCAAATGTTTGGGAGCGTCGCGCCGGACGAAGGCCGACCGGACCCGCACGGGCCGTCTGCCACCCGCCCGCCCGCCGGCCCGGCCGGCCCGGCTCAGCCCGGCAGCGGCGTGACGCGACGCGGTGTCAGACGTGCCCGCTGACGGACGGCAGCGGCGGACGGCGACGTGTCGACATGAGCCGGCCGTCGGCCGCTGTCAGCGGCGCGCCCTCTCCGCCCGAGGACCGCCGCAGGGGAGGGGTCACCACATGCCGGCGCTCGCGACTGTTGTTGGACGTGAAGGAGCAGGCTGGGGTTGCGGCTGCCGAGGCCACACGCACGGACGGCGTAGGCCAGGGCTTACACTCCCCTGGTGATCGAGACCGGGGGCCGATTCCTCGCCGAGCTCGTCTCCGGCCACCGACGCGCGGCGCTGCCGATGACAGGCTGGCCCGTCCGGCGCCGTCGCGCGCCGCGGCGTGGCGATGATTGGCTGCGTGGCGATACCGAAGCTCTCCCGAGGCAGCGACGGTGATGCGCCGCGCCGAAGCCGTCATCACCTGGCGCTGCGTCACGTTTGGGGACGTCTTTGTTGGCCGTATTCAGCGGCGAATGTGAGGAGGTCGCGTGTGCCGCGGCATTGCCGCACAGATGGCTGACTGAGGTATCCCGCCGCACCCGCTGCTTGTGTCTGCGCCCTCTATGTTTACTCTCGGCGCTCCTGCAGGCTGTCTTCCTACACGCTCCGTTCGGGTAAACGTGGACCCTCCGACGAAGCCGCCGTGTGCGCAGATGAAAGCGGCAATTTCCCGTCGTGTTTACAACGTGCGTGAGCGTAATGACATACTTGGTTATGACGCGCATACGTCGTGCCGCTGAGCCTGTTTGCTGTGCAGCCGATGAGGCTCAAACAACAGATCAGGGGCTGCGATCATCTGCCTCGTCCATTCGTCAACGGACGCACGCCGTCGCGACCCGTCCACACGCCCCTCTGATCGACACCCAGCCCTTGGCGGGTTGCCGAGCGCCGCCGAAGGTCACCTGCACGCGCCGCGTCGCGCCGCGTCGCGCCGCCTTGCGTCATGCGCCGAGTCTGACCCAGCGAGCAAATAAACACCGGCCGGTGACTAAGTAGCGGAGGTGTGGTGGCGGCGGAGGGGAGGGGTGACGCCCCTTCACCCTTCCGTCGGCTGACAAAGCGTCGTTGACTGAGCGTCGTCCCTGGCGGGTGACTCCGCCCCGACCGCGCCACCACCCACCTGTTGTGGAACGGCCACCGGGTGACTCATGTTTTCCGTGTCACACCGCTTTGTGTCTGCACTGTGTACTGACATGCACTGCCCAGTGATGACAGTGCTTTGTGGCAAACCAGACATTAACGCCGGTCCGACAATCAAGAAGAATCACTTGAGGTTTGCCAGCTCATAGTTATTCGCTTGCTTTCCCCAGGAAATTCCTGTCCATTGTGCAGGCTAGCGCCGATCTCCGCTATCCTCTCCACGTCCCATTGTTTTCGGGTCTAACGCCGCTGCCGCATCGAGCTCTGAGTCACAGAGTGTCACTGACGTTATGTCATTCTTTCTCACAGCTGACGCTGACCATCAACAACCTGCCGAAGGTGAAGCCGGAGGGCAGGTTCCTCTGCGCCTTCACGCTCATGGGCAAGACGCTCCCCACCAACGCCACGCAGACGGGACAGGACACGCTGACATGCACCACGCCGCCGACTGACCAGCTGCCGCCCATCCCATCCGGACAGCGTGAGTACTGACCTCGGGTCACCGACCCACTGCCGCCCATGCTGCCTGGGCAGCATGAGTGCTGACCGGCTGCCGCCGTCACCGCCTGGACCGTGGGTGACCAGCATATTGCGCGCGCCGCGTGATGCATTACTCTCGGCGTCCGCCCGCCCTCGACGTACGGGTTTGTTTTAATTTCAAAACTGCCGGATCCCCGAACAAAGCCGCGGTGCGATACAGCCTAAGGCTTCACCTCCGGCCCCCAGCACGGCACTGGGGCCTCATGTTGCACAAAGCCACGGTACTCCCACAGGGGCCTGGACGCCGAGTCTGTCAGTCATGTCGCGACACGTGCCAGGCTGCCAGTTGCCGGGCGGCGCTTGGGCGCCCCGGCGCACCACTGTGCCGTGTTTCTGGCAAACTGCTTGCCACGTCATACGTGCGGCACGGGGTTCGCTAACCTCTCGCCACGAGCTCACGTGCGTCTCCTCCTGACGCATGGCTTCACCTCTGCGCAAATCCCGCGAACGACGGAATTCGCAGAGAAGTCACACGTGATGGTTGGACGTGCGCAGGAAAATCGTCGATGTTAATCGCTGTTGCGTACATCGCCTCTCCGTGGCCTGGTCGTGCCGCGACCACCATCAGAAAGTATTTGATATCCGGGTGTATTTCGCAGAACGGGGATTAGTTGCATGCCCTGCGTGCACGCAGAGTCAAACGGGTGGGGCGCGTCCCGTGTTCGCCAGCCCTGCCCGCTGTCGATCGGTGCTGACCTCAGCTCCGCTAACGAAAACAACCGCAGCCGGCATCGGCCCGGCTGTGCGGGCGCTGGGTGGTCCTGTTGACTGGCGCGCACCGAGGGCGGACATTAATGCCCGCGCGGGCCCGCCCCCGCCGCCTGCAACGGCCCGCCGCTAGCTCGCGATGCACCCGTCCCTTCGGATGCCGCCGGTGGCCCTACCGCTGCGGCGGATTTGGCTGGCATTCGGCTCTGCGCAGGAGCTGCGGAATTTCGGGCCGTGCTGGGACGAATCGTGGCATCAGGGGGTTCGAGTGGAAGACGGAGGGTGGGGGGCAGGGTAGCTCTCCCAGGACAGCGAACAAGTGGAAAGTGCTCAAAGCACAGACCCGTGTTTGAATCTCACGTGCCAGCGCTTATTATGTCCTGTCAGCTGCGCTTCCGAGTCGTGGTAACTTATGTTGCGGACGAGTAGCAAACTTTGCAGTTCCTTCGGAAAACTGCGCGCCGTTTTACACTCGCTCACCGAGGCTGTGTAAACTGAACGCATTGAGAACTTCGTCCACAACTCAGTGCAGGCCGGGCCGTCCCACGAGCGTTCTGTTATCGCAGAAAGGTGTGTGCCTGCTGTCGCCTTTGTGCCGTGACACGTGGTGTCGAATTGAAGGGCGCGCCGTGGGCCGTCACGCGCCACGTCCGGGGTGACGCTGAATGTCAGGCAGTGCGTCACGCGGCGCGGCCGGCCTGAAACCGGACGGTGCATTGACACGTGACGCGTAACGCACGGGGCCCGTGACGACATGCGTGCCACCGTCCGCGGCGCATTCAGGCGGGGGCGCGTGGCGGAGCTTTGATAGGCGGACGTCTCGGCGGCGGACGTCCCGATGTGTGATTGTGGAGCTCCGGGTGGCTCGTGACTCAGCTACAACGTAGCGAAGGTCAGACCCGACGGCAAGCTCGTACCCAGAGTGATTTGTGCTCATGGGAGTGTACCATCAGCATCGCTCGGAGCTAGTTGTCGGAGCGTTTAATTCTGGGGATCGTCGCTGACTACCGGTATTCTCGCTGTCGTCGCTGTCATGGCCCACGTGCCCGAGGGCATAGCTGTGGTCCGAAGCCGGCCGTGTTCGACAGACGCACGACCGCCACATTCACCAGGCGGCCCCGGCGCTCGGGAGGGCGCTCCGTCACGAGGTCACTAAAGCGGGTCTGCCACTGCTCGCGGTGTCGCCGGCGGTCGCGGGACGGTCAAGTGAGTGGCGCACGGCGCCGCGGGGTTCGCGGCAGCGGCGGCGGCGGCGGCGGCGGCCGCGGGCGAGCTGCGGGCACGGCCGACCGCCGGACTAATGAGCGGAACGGCAGCCGCGCCGCGCCGCTTCATTTGTATGGTAATGCCGCCGCTCTGGTGCCCCGGCCGGCCTCGCAGCAGCCGCTGCCGCCGCCGCAGCTCGGGAGGCCCGGTCAGCAGCGGCGGCGGCTGCTGCTGTCGCCGCGGCCTGCAGTGTCCGGGGTCTGGGCCGTGTTGCGCTGGTGACAAGTGGACAGGTGATACGAAGTCGCCGCCGAGCAGCGACGCTGCTTTGGATTTTGCGATGCCGGCTGTGCTGGGCTCGACTTTGGCATGTTCGTTTTGCCAGGCGGCTTTGAACTGCGGGTGCGCCGGAAGTGTTGTATTGTGTGATGCAGATGGGCGCACCAGTCGAATTCCTGTCCCGACGAATGTTGTTTTCGTGCTGGCCGTTGTTTTGCAAAGTCATTGTGATGCAAATTCCGAATTTCTGCCCTCACGTCTCGCCGGAAACTTTCTGGTCTGCAGGCGCCCCAACTGCCAACCGCCTTGTTGTTTGGTGCGTTCTCGAGTTCCCTTTAATTTCAGTACTTTCTTTGTGAAGCTCTTTACTTGGCTTCGGGCGCTCCAATTGAAATATGAAACCCGAACACCGGGTGCGTAGGCTCTTGTTCTGGTCGAGGAGCCAGCTCCCAGCTTACAGCTTTGCCTATGGTTTAGTTTGGCCTCAGCATTCCGCGCCAGCCTCTAAAGTTGGTGGTGCCCGGTCGCAGAATTGCTGGGGCCGTCCGGCTTTGTTTACTCGCCGCCGCGGCGCTCTGGGGAAGTCTCCATCTCTATCGGCGTCGCCGGGGTGCCCTGGGGACGGGGACGAACGCCCGCCGATTTACTGCGGCACCACCTGCGGAAACTTGGCTGTTCCCCGCCTCCGAATGGTGCTAGTTGCTAATGGTTCAGCTTTGGCGCGCCTGTGTGGTTCAGTTTTGGCGCGCCGTCCGTGCGCAGCCCGGCCATCGAGGCGCTGCTCCGCGACGGAGGCGTCCGAGCTCGCAGCTGTTACATTGCGCCGCGTCGGCCAATGCGCATGCGTGTGTTGCTAGGCAACAATGTATTCACGATTTGCTGGTTCCTCGTCGGAAGATGCGGTGAGAGGCGGAGGGGAGGGAGGACTGGAGACGCCTGGGAGAGCCTCAGGTGTTTGGACGAATTTTATTTGGCCCCGAGCCTCACACCAATCAGCCATTAGCTCGGGAGGATTCCTGCTAGGGCTGTTGCAGGGACTATAAAGCGACGGCGCCGTCTCAGGGATTTTCAGTTGCGGCACAGTGGAAAAACAGTTGGAATAAAAGAGCCGCATCGTATCGCGCCCAAGCTCGGCTCAAACATGCGACGGTGACAGGCTTTAAATCGCGCTGACGAAGAAAGACCCTAAGTCCTAGCGTGTCAGCGATTGACGCTGCAGGTTCTTCAGAATAAATACCGAGGTTTGCCGTGACTGCTTAGCAAGGCAGCGTCCTTCCAAAATATGACGTGAAACAATGCAGAAGTGGCCTTTCCTGCTGCTCCGCCCTGGCGCCATGGTGAGACATGTGACTCGCTTAGTCTGACGTTTACGGCTATTTCGATTGTCAGCTACCGGGAATGTTTGGCGAAAGGATCCTGCACCCGCCGACGGCACGGACTCACGCCGTGCCAAATAGGTACGGTAGAGAGCCGGCGGCTGGTAACGAAGCCCGATGTCGTGATGTAGCCGGGCCGGGCTGCGATCAGCTGACCGGCTGAGGTCACTGATCGGATCGGTGACAGCGCGATGGACAGATACCCGGCTTAGTGGCCCCTATGTCTATGCCCGACGTTGTTATCCTGGCAATCGCTAACGAAACAGGCGTCGTCACCGACTGCAAACGGGAATTCAGTGAGGGTTCGGGTTCCCCGTGTCCGATGCAAATGCCACTCCACGCGTCGCATGGGGAGATAGCCTGGTGCGCGGCACCAGCGCCGGCCGAAAACAGGCCGCGCCCGCTTGTGCAAGCAGCCGTGTCATCTGACACCACGCCAGGAGGCACCCGCTGCTCTGGCCCGTCGGCCGGCACCGTGACGTGCCGCGGCGCGTGCCCGGCGGACCAGACACGGCCGTGCCCGGCGCCGGCGGCTCGTGCGGCTGTCGCACGGCGATGGGCGGCTGGTGACGCTGCCTGCAGCGCGGATAGACCGCTGCCCCGGGCACGGGCAGGCCGCTGCCTGGTCGTCTTACACAGAAACAGAGGCAGGTTCTTCCGGAGATTACAAGAATACGCCCCTTCATCTTTGCTTTGACGCTGGCGGGGCAAATCCAGCCGAACCGACGCCGCACGGGCGGCAAGATGACGCTGCGGAGCCGGCTGAAGACCACGGCCAGCCAAGATGGCCGCCGCTGTCTGGCCACGCTGAATCTTCTCCGCTCTTTGTGCTCGTTTACGTCGAAGTGCGCTGCTTTGAGTCGCACTAAGTGGCCGCCGCTCATCATCATCAACTCGACATCAAATTTGGTGTGTTTGCTGGGCGCGCGACCAGCGTTGAGGGTCTGCTGCCACGTTAATGACGCACTCCAGGCGGGCGGCCTTTGTGGCGGTGGCGTCCGGCGGGTTATTGCCGCGCCGCAGTTGCCGCCGGTCGCGGCGTGCGCCGCGTGACGTCACGGCGCCGCTTGCGGCCACGGCGGCCGCGGCCGGCGCGAGCGACAAAGGCGTTTGCCCTTGGAACGATGCCCGCTGTAATCAACGCGTCAAAGCTGGGTTTACGTACGGCTGGCGTTCGCAGAGAATCGGGCCCTGCTTACTGCGCGTCTGCAACCGTCGCTCGTTGGCAGCTGTTTGCAGCGGCTTGCCGTTGCTGTGTTCGGTTTGCTGCCCGCGTATTTTCCCCGCTGACTGTTTCCACCCCAGGCACCATTTTCTTCCGCCTTTCTAACGACCGATGCTCTGATTGAAACGGACTAAATTCATTCCTAGTTTCTCAACTTTGGGTAAATACCTACTGCGCTTTATATGAAGGAACTCCGAAAGTTTGCTTTTAGCCTACGGTCCTAAAACTGCGAGACGAAAAGGTTTGTCCGTAACGAAAAAACTTAGCGAGTGCAGCTCCATTTAGCTGTCACATCAACCGTCGTATTTTTGTTTAAGACGCAGCCGCTGCTCTAAAGCGTCCCCACTGCCACAACTACGACCCTGAAAGCTAGCCAACTTTTCCGATTCGCAACCGTGACTTCAGTCGCTCGTTTCCTGTGTCGCGCCGAGTGTACCCCGTGCACCGGCGTTGTCCCCCGCACGCGTGCACAACATGCTGCTTCGGCGAGGCGTCGCTAACCTGGTGCGCCCGTTCGCAGGCGCCATCACGGCCAAGCTGTCGGTGCGCATGTCCCCGGGGCCGGGCTTCGAGGCCACGGACTTCGTGGCCACCGACTTCGGTTTCTACGACTGCAACCGGTACACGCAGTGCGGCCAGTGCGTGAGCGCGCCGTTCCCGTGCGACTGGTGTGTGGACGGGCACCGGTGCACGCACGACACGGCCGAGAACTGCCGCAACGACATCCTCGTTACCGGCGTCAAGGTACGACCAGCGCCGTGCCAGTCCGGTCGCCGGTGGTGGGATGTGGGCGCAACACACGTGCGGAGATCAGCACAGGCTTGTCGACCGGGTGCTGGGGTTTGTTCGTGGGTGTGGGCATGTGGGCTCGTGCGAAGGCGACGTTTGGAATGTAATTGTATCGACTAGGTTGCATTCGACTCACATGTGTTCGTCGCACGGTTTATCCTCTCAGCGCTCTTAAAATTTACGGACTACGTTCATCTCCTGTACTGCCTGGGCCTCTCGTCGCTGTCTTCGCCGCCGCAACACTTGGCGGAGTGCGCTTGGCTTTAAGCCGGAGGCACTTGTCGATCCGCGTGCTGGAGTAATTTACGAGGATGATAAATCGGGTGGGGAGCACGCTTGACCAGGCTTTTCTCGTACGTGCTAGCACTTTCTGCCCAGGCGTGGATGATAGCGTCAGACACATGGCCCACCGAACTCACGGCCACACATTGGACGAATTGTCGGCTCCCCTGCGCCTGCCTGACCCACTGATTGGTGTAGCCACTACTGGGCGCGGACTGCGGAGATATATCCCAGAAGTTTTCCCATAAGTCACCTCCTATTTTACCCGTAGAGCTTTCGTTTTCACCTTTACCCTTTTGCCCTGTTAACCCTTTCAAAATGTCATTTTCAGGTCACGTTCCCCTCAGGCACCAGCATGACCCTTCCAGTCTTGGTCTGTCCTCTTCAATCTCAGAGGCATGGCTACACCCATAGAGCCGCCCACTCTACTTTCGCTATGCTGCCATGGGTGATCACACCGTGCGCCGATACGATCACCGGTGATCACACCGTGCGCCGATACGATCACCGGTGATCACACCGTGCGCCGATATGCCCCGGCGGAAGCGCTCCACGTCGGCCCCGCCCGTTCGCTGAGGGCCGCTGAATTAGTGATGCGTTCGACACCACTCAGCGGTTTAGTGTGGGGCCGGCCCGTAAAGCACACGATCGGGCGGCCGGCCGCGGCTGTCGGATGAGTCAGCCGTTCACCGGTGCCCGCCGTGGGAAACTGACAGCCACCGGCCGTGCTCACGACCGGACGGACGTGTCCGGTGCGCGGCTGGCGGGCGTGGACGGAGGAGTACGGCGCGCGGGCCGGCGGACGTGCTGACCACCGGACGGACATGTGCGGCGCGCGGGCCGGTGGACGTGCTGACCACCGGACAGACATGTGCGGCGCGCGGGGCGGTGGACGTGCTGACGACTGGACGGACGTGTACGGGCGCGGGCCGGCGGGCGTGCTGACGAAGTAGTACGGCGCGGGGCCGGCGGATGTGCTGACGACCGGACGGACGTGTACGGCGCGCGGGCTGCCGGACGTGCTGACGGACGCCGCTCGCCGTCACCAGCGGCGGCTGAAGGCCGGCGGCGGCGGCGTCTGACGACGTCTGCGGCTTGTCGGCGCGCTGTTTTTGGCTGCGGGCGCACGGTTTACCATTGGGCACCGATGACTTCATGATTCTCGTCCTGACCAGGCGTGGCCTTCACACAGACCGCACCCGTCGAGATGCAAACTCACCGTAATAGCCTCATTAAGCCCTAGTGGTAGTGGCAGGGCACTCGGCCGTTGTCCATCCTTTGAGTGCAGAGCCATTGACTGTCGCTTGGGGCCGCGTCCCACGGCCGGGCCCGTGCCTTTGGCCGCGTTGTCTCCGGCCGTCGTGGCCAGAGCCGCGTCCAATTAGTGGGCCGCGGGGCGACCCGCACGCGCCGCCGCCCGCAGCGCGCCACATTGCCTCCGCCGGCGGCGTCCGTCGGCCGCACTGGACGCTGTTTGCGACGTGGCATCCGCCGTAGGGCGGGCCGCCGGAGCCTGGGGAGCGATGGCGCCCGACGGCTCGCGCCGCGCCGCGGCCGGTGCCGCTCCCGGCGCCAAGGAGACGCCGCTGACGCGCGGAGATTTGTGGGGCTGTCCGGGCGGCGACGTCGGCTGTGTGGCGGCCCGCCGCGCCCGCCGACGGCCGGATAAGCGGCGGTGAGAAGCGCCGGCGGCCGCGCAGCCCGCGTGTTTCGTCCATTATCGAGCCTTTCATCGCGCGTCACTGTCACCCAGTCTTCGGCGCAGCTTCCCGAAGTCGCCGCGGCCGACATGCAGATGCTCGTCGCGCTTCGTGAAGGCCCATTAGCGATGCATTGAATTCGGCTCTGACCCTGAACGCGGGACGACGATGCGCGCGGCCTGTGCTGAACATTGAAGGATGGGCCGGAACAGTGGAACTGCGCGCGGTGCGAGCGTGCCCACGGGCTCCTCTGGCAGCAGCTGACGCAGCTCCGGGTCCCCCGGCCTGCCGATTACTGGCGGGACGCCATGCAGCCAGAATGCCGTTAAAGTGCCGGTGTGCCGTTGGCGACTGCGACGGCTTCTGTTCTCGCTCTCGCGTCACAAACGGCACCTATGGGCGGGAAAGGCATGACTGGTGGTTTGTTACATCTTACTGAGGCAGGAGCGCTTGGCTGACTGCATTGGCTTGGCTTGGCTGACTAACTTGGCTTGGCTGACCAACCCTCCCACGTTTCCTACTCTTTTGCCCTGTACTCCTCAACTCTCATCCTCCTAGTTTCTGCCCGTCACGCGTTAGCGCTCGCTCCCAGTCCGACCGCCTGAGACGCGCTATGCACTGTCGGAACTGGGAGGCGTCGAGCGCGGTGTCTGCGACGCGCGCACCAGACCTCCCCCGGGCCCGGCGCACTGTTTACCCCACGCCCGGCGGAGATGCTGATCGCGCCACCGGCGCGGATTAGGCCTCGTTAGCTGCCGAGTGCTCGGCAGACCCGCCGCCCAACTTTCCCGCTGCCGGCGCAAATCGCCAACTTGATCCCCGCCGATCCGGCGGGCCGGCTAAGTAGCAGGCCGTCACGGCGGGGCCTTGTAAGGCCGCGGAGGGTTTCCTGGTGGCGGCCGCCGCGGCCTGGCATCAGATACGGGCGACGGCCGGCGCCGGTCGCGCGCCCGGCCGCGTTCTTCCTGGCCGGACCGCCGCCGGCCGGCCGCGGTCTTCCTGGCCGGACCCGCCGCCGGCCGCGCTCTTCCTGGCCGGACCCGCCGCCGGCCGGGCGCTCCACGGGATGCGCTCGAACGTCATGAAATAGCTTCAGGAAGCGGGACGGCGAGTTGCTCTGGTAGTGGATTCTGCCGTACATTTGAAAATTAGGATACTCTTGCGTCTGCACTGTGTGCCATGCAATTTGGTTGCGGACGGTACCTACATCAGTTTGTTAAACTACCTACGGCTGATTGGGGCGAAGTGTGCGAGTTTCGATACCTGTAAACGAGTTAACCCACGAGTTTTGGGACCTGTTGACAGTTTGCAGTTCAAAACTGGACGCCTGGTAGTCAAGTAGTTGCGGTCAAGTAGTCTGGTGTGCATCAGCGAGCATGACTACAGATTACCGCCACTTTTGAACAACGGCTGGGTCTCGCTGCGTGACGACGCTGATGTGCTAGGCTAATCCTGGGCGTCCAGAAGCTGCATGATGACTATCTTGACTGGTACCTGTAGCGCCCTAAATCTTGCGGCACCAAACGGGACGTGTGATTGGCGTTGACAGTTGAGTTGCTAGGAGACGCCTCGAGCCGTCCGCTATGTGACAGATGGCGCCGACGCGCACGTACGTGGCATTCTGACGTCTTGACGGCCGATCGTATCGGACCGGCCCTCACTATGGTAACCGTTTGGCAACTAATTGTGTTGGCCTTTGCGGGCGTTAAAAACAGCGGTAACATTCCGCTTTTGACAGCGGCCGGTTTAACAGCGGTACATTTGACATGACTCACGCTTCTCCTGCGTTGCACTGGCCTTCATCAGCGAAACAATGCGACCAATCTGTCGGCGTGTAGCACTGCACATAACCGCCAGTACGGAATTCATACCTTATAAGTAGACGCCAATATCAGCTGGGATCAAAGCGCTGTTCATGATGACTCAGGGGCTGGTCCCGGAAGCGCGGCCAGCATCGAGCGGCACTTCGTCTCGAAGTCAGTGGTCGGAATGTCAAATGTCAGCGCTTGCCGAGCTGGCCTTGCCGCTATCCCGGACATGTTTACCCTCCGCCGGCGAGCTGGCGCGCGCGGTGCTGCCGCCGCCTGACACCACAGGCTCTCGTCGGCACGGCCGCGTGCCGCGTGATCCGTGTTAGAGGTCGGCGAGCCGCGGCGACATGTGCGGCGTCTGGTCCTGGGACCTGATCTGGCCTGATCTGACTTGATCTGACCCGATCTGACCCGATCTGACCCGATATGTACCGATCTGACCTGATCTGGCCTGATCTGACCTGATGTGACTTGATCTGACCTTCGACAGCGGATCGGGCCGAGCATCCGCAGCGGGCCCGGCTTCTGCCCCGGATCAACACCACCATCGAGGGCGACGTCGAGCTGCTCGTGCCCTCCGGCAGCCAGCGCGCCGTCGTCGTCCGCGTGGAAAACATCCCCGTGAGTGGGGGGTGCGACTGGGCATGACGCCGGGTCATCATGACTGGTGTGTTGTGGTTAAGTGGGGCTTCCAATCCGCCGATCATTCTAGGCTGCTGAGGGAGAGGAAGGGATGAGGGCCGCAAGAGTGAGGCGTGCCAAGGCGAAGGTCTAAAATAGCATTACGGAAGCGTTGAGGTTTCTAAAGCATGCGTTTCAAATTCATATTATTTTTTTCGCAGCACATCAAAGTCGCGCCTTTCTCTATAAGAACCCCGCCGCGGACCCCGCCGCGGGGCCCGCCGCGGTAGGACAGGTCCAGCGAGTTAGGGGCGGCGAGAGAACAGGTCCAGCGAGTTAGGGGCGGCGAGAGAGTAGGGCGGATCCAGCGAGTTAGGGGCGGCGAGAGAGGTAGAACAGGTCCAGCGAGTTAGGGGCGGCGAGAGAGGTAGAACAGGTCCAGCGAGTTAGGGGCGACGAGAGAGGTAGGGCGGATCCAGCGAGTTAGGGGCGACGAGAGAGGTAGGGCGGATCCAGCGAGTTAGGGGCGGCGAGAGAGAGA